GCACCGACCCTAGTCCACCACAATGCCCGGAGGGTCGGAAGTATGTTCCGCTCGAGTGTCGGGATCGATTGATCTATTGGGCTCACACGTCACCCTCCTCTGGACATCCGGGTATCGGTCGGACAGTGCACTGTCTTAGTGCCAAATATTGGTGGCCTACGTTGGCCAGGGATGTGAGGGTTTATGTTTCCTCCTGCTCGGTGTGCGCCCAGTGTAAGGCGCCTAGACATCTGCCTAGGGGTAAGTTACTACCCCTGCCCGTTCCACAACGACCATGGTCCCACCTCTCGGTGGATTTTATAACTGATCTTCCCCTCTCTCAAGGGAATACTACACTCCTGGTCGTTGTGGATCGGTTCTCTAAGGCCTGTCGTTTGCTCCCCATGCCGGGTCTTCCTACTGCCCTACAAACCGCCGAAGCACTATTCACTCATGTGTTCCGGCACTACGGGGTGCCCGAGGACATTGTGGCTGACCGGGGTCCCCAATTCACCTCCAGAGTCTGGAGAGCTTTTATGGAGCGGTTGGGGGTCTCGGTGAGTCTCACCTCGGGTTACCACCCGGAGAGTAATGGGCAGGTGGAACGCGTAAACCAGGATGTGGGCAGGTTTCTCAGAACATACTGCCGGGACCGGCCGGAGGAGTGGGCGAGATATGTGCCCTGGGCTGAGATGGCACAGAACTCTCTTCGCCACTCCTCCACCCAACTAACCCCTTTTCAGTGTGTTTTAGGGTACCAGCCGGTTCTGGCACCATGGCATGAGAGCCAGATCGAGGCCCCCGCTGTGGATGAGTGGGTGCGGCGCTCGGAGGAGACGTGGGACGCTGCACACGTCCATCTGCAGCGTGCCATACGTCGACAGAAGACGAGCGCCGACCTACACCGCAGTGAGGGGCCTGTGTACGCACCTGGAGATCGAGTCTGGCTCTCTGCCAGAAACCTGCCCCTCCGCCTGCCCTGTCGGAAACTGGGTCGGCGGTTTGTAGGGCCATTTAAAGTCCTGAGAAGGTTGAACGAGGTTTGTTATAGATTACAGTTGCCAGTGGAGTATAAATGTATTAACCCCTCGTTCCATGTGTCCCTTCTCAGGCCGGTGGTAGCAGGCCCGCTCCAAGAACATGAGATCTTGGAGACCCCCCCCGCCCCCGTTGGACATCGAGGGGGCACCGGCGTACACCGTGAGATCCATCTTGGATTCTAGACGTCGGAGAGGGGGTCTTCAGTATCTAGTGGAGTGGGAGGGGTACGGTCCGGAGGAGCGGTGCTGGGTGCCGAGGAGAGACATCTTGGACCCGTCGCTCCTGACGGAATTCCATCGGGGGTATCCGACGCGCCCTGCGCCGCGGCCTCCGGGTCGTCCCCAAGGCCGGAGTCGGCGCGCGTCTGGAGCCGCGCGTCAAGGGGGGGGTACTGTCACGGTTTCGGCCGAGGCTGCCTCTCTCCCTTGTTCGGGCAGGCTTCGGCGTTCGTCGTCTCCGGAATTCTAGCTGCCACCGATTTATGTTTTCATGTTCGTTTGCTTTTGTCTGTTTGTGTCACACCTGTTTCTGTTTTACGTGATTAGTATCCTATAAGTTTCTCGTTGTGTTTGTCTTGTGTTGTGTGTGATTGTTTTCGTCAGTGTTGTGTTTGCTCGGTTGAGCATAATTCTCTCCACTGCGCTGGAGCTCATTTTGCACTTGTTTCGTGCACTACTATTTTTGTCGCACCTGTTTGTGCGCATTTTGCCTACACGCCTTTGGCGTAGTTTAGCTGTTGGGCTTTGTTGCCCTGTTGCCTGTGTTTGGGTCGGAATACAGCTTTTGGAACCTACCGTCTGCGTCCTGCATCTGATTTCCTACACCACACCTACACACGCCCTGACATTTACTATCCTTGTGAGGACTTTTGGAACCCAAAGGATTGTAAAGTTACACCACACACTAGTGGGTGGGGTGGGGGTGTGAGGTGTTCCCTCATAAGGGCAGGAGAAGACTATCACTCCCACACTCTGCCAAACTGGATACAAACTGGATACAAACTGAGACACAGCCAGGAGCGTGGGACTTAGAGTAGCTTCTTGTTTCATGCTTTTGTAACTCTCATCAGTGTGTTGGACAGTTGTTGGTAATTGGCAGACATCTGTTGTTTTGGACCAAGAGGTTTTTCTCTTTTTGGACCAACAGTGTTTTTTGTGAGAAATGTTTTGGAGAGACCTGCACAGTGTTTCAGTCTAGAAGGACAGACAGACAGACAGAGACAGAAAGAAAAGACAGAGAGAGAAGAGAGACACAAAGCAATCAACACAAAGACAGACAGTTGGAAGACAGACAGACAGACAGCCATGGGGGTTGAGGAACAGAGAGCTGGGAAGTTTTACGTGGAGAGGGATGTTTTGGATGAACTTTGCCTTGACCAGGTGGCCCGAAGACGGACACACTCCACCAGACCTCCCCTGAAGGAGAGGGTGAAAGATTCCATCAGGTAAGATATGGTAAAAGAGAAGGAGCGGGAGCAGGGCAGGAGGGATGGGAGAGGGGGAGGAGGGAGGGATGGGAAGGGAGGAGGATGGGGGGGTAGGGGGAGTGGGGAGTGGGAGGGAGGTGGGGATGGAGAGTAGATTGGTGGAGGTTTTTTTCTCTTCTTGTATTTTTCTTTTTCTTCATTGTGTTGTTAGTTTTGCTTCTTCTGAGTTCTGCATTTGTGAGAGGGGTGATGTGGAGTCTTAAGCCCGTTGGAGCAGAAACATGCATCAGTTTCACTATTTGCTGACTAATTCTGCAAATGAATAACATGCATTGACAAAAGCTATTTTGGATCTGTGTCTGTGTTTATGTCAGTTTACAATTTACTGCCCAGGTTATTTGAGGACAGTTGAGTACGGCACAGTAGATGAGCGTGAGTGTGTGTGTGTTTGAATGTGTGATATGCTTCTTTATATGGTTGCAATGGATGATCTTTCATTATGCAATCCCACTGACGCAGGGAGAGGAAAGAGAGGGAAGAGAGGAGCAGCATGAACGAGCGAGAGAGGGACAGTCTGTGCCGGACAGAGAAGGAGAATATTAGAGAGAAAACAATAAACAGAGATAGAGGATAAGAGAGAAGGTTAATGAGAGGGACAGAGAGAGAGAGAGAGAGAGAAAGAAGGGAACATATAGAGGGTCAGAGAGAGAGAGAGAAAGAAGGGAACAGATAGAGGGACAGAGAGAGAGAGAAAGAAGGGAACAGATAGAGGGACAGAGAGAGAGAGAGAAAGAAGGGAACAGATAGAGGGACAGAGAGAGAGAGAGAAAGAAGGGAACAGATAGAGGGTCAGAGAGAGAGAGAGAAAGAAGGGAACAGATAGAGGGACAGAGAGAGAGAAGGCAGGACAGGACAGCTGCCCATATGAACAAAATACTACAGTATACTATGGTCTAAATACTGTAGTATTACTATATTTATATACTATAGTATTCACTTCAGTGTTTTTGCGGAAGTATACTATAGTATTCACTGTAGTGTTTTTGAGGACATGACTGTAGTATACTATAGTATTCACTGTAGTGTTTTTGAGGACATGACTGTAGTATACTATAGTATTCACTGTAGTGTTTTTGAGGACATGACTGTAGTATACTATAGTATTCACTGTAGTGTTTTTGCAGACTTTAATGTAGTGTTCACTGACTAGTATACTGTAGTACAGTTTATTATAGTATAAATACTGTAGCATATACTATAGTAATTACTGTAGTGTTTTTGTGGATATTACTCTAGTATTTACTAGTGTTTTTAGTTTTATTATCTTTGACATAGAAGACACACTAAGAGCAAATTTTCCATAAACTGAAGGAAGGTAGAACTGGAGTCTAAACAGATAGTTAAACACTTCTGCTCTTTTCTATAACCTATAGGGGAGCACAATATATGGTCTATATAGGTTTATATGTAGGTTTCTCACTCATGGGTGGCTATAGTTCACTATAGTAACAAAAAAAAATCTGTGTTTTTGCGGACATTACTGTAGTATTTACTACAGTGTTTTTTGCAGAAAATACTGTAGTATTTAATATAGTATTCTACAGTATACTACACAAGTATATAGTTAGCACTACACGATCAAGGGATACGACAGTGTGCAGTATAGTATTCTACAGTATACTAGTTTACTACAGAATACTATATAATTCTATAGTAACAGAATACTATATCATTATATAGTAAGTACTGTAGTATTCTATAGTAAACTGTAGTCTTTTATCTGGGTTATAAAAGGCAGACAGTTTGGTCCAGGCCGTGTGACATATTCAGGCTTGAAGAGAAAAGTTCACCTTCCTCTGGACCTGAGCCCTGATGGCCTCTTGAAACTGAAACATAGGTGAATATTTGGTGGCAATGCTGAACACTATCACAGAGTATGACACTGCACTGCCACCAAATATTAACCTATCACAGAGTATGACATCACTACCACCAAATATTAACCTATCACAGACACTGCACTGCCACCAAATATAAACCTATCACAGAGTATGACATCACTACCACCAAATATTAACCTATCACAGACACTGCACTGCCACCAAATATAAACCTATCACAGAGTATGACACAGCACCGCCACCAAATACTAACCTCATAAAAAATACAAGACAAAGCCAAGAACGCTTTAGCTACATAATCCAGATGAACGCTCCAAACACAGACTACACCCCTTTTGTTTTTACTGGGTGGCTAAACAGGACCGTACAGATAGTTGGTTTCTCTGTAAGCCCCGGTCCTGAAGGGCCACGGTGTGTGCAGGTTTTTGTTCCAGCCTAGCTTTAAGACTGTTAGAGCTGGGCTAGAACAAGACCCTGCACACACTGTGGCGCTCCAGGAGCAGAGTTGCCTACCCATGCCCTATCCACCAACTGTGTGGAAGCACAACTGCTAAACTCAGCAGACACATTTCAGTTGTCACAAATGGATAACAAAATTGTATTACTCTTTTTTCCACCTCTCCATGATCCACCCCTCCCCTCCTGGTGTCAGGTGTTCCGTGCCCAAGCTGAAGCGCTCTGTGCTGAGCACTCTGCCTGTCCTGTCATGGCTGCCCCATTACTCAGTGAGAGACAACGGCCTGGGAGACCTCATCTCTGGCATCAGCGTTGGCATCATGCACCTGCCTCAGGGTCTGTACCACATCTACTGTTGGACCAAACACACATACAGGGCCCAATCACAGGGTTCAATCACAGGGTCCAATCACAGGGCCCAATCACAGGGTCCAATCACAGGGTCCAATCACAGGGCCCAATCACAGGGTCCAATCACAGGGCCCAATCACAGGGTCCAATCACAGGGTCCAATAACAGGGTTCGATAACAGGGTTCGATCACAGGGCCCGATCACAGGGTCCAATCACAAGGCCCGATCACAGGGCCCGATCCTAACTTGAAATCGGCAACACGTGTAACTCACATGCAAATCTCCCAAATCTCCTGCTGATGTAAAAATGACTTTCTAAATACATTTGATTGATTGATGCCGATGCTTGAGGTATGGAAAAGCCTGATTTACACAAATCGATCTCAATGTTTAATCTCTTTGGGCTGTTAAATTCCTAAAAGTTACATGATAACTGTCTATTTTGTGAAGACTGTGAAGACTTTCCTGTAACGTTTGCATAGGTATGGCCTATGCTCTCCTGGCCTCTGTGCCTCCAGTGTTTGGCCTCTACACCTCCTTCTACCCTGTACTGGTCTACTGCATTCTTGGCACCTCCAGACACATCTCCATAGGTAAGACGGAGTGGAGAGAGGAGGAGACAGAAAGAGAGGAGGAGACACAGAGAGAGGGGGAGACAGAGAGAGAGGGGGAGACAGAGAGAGAGGAGGAGACAGAGAGAGAGGGGGAGACAGAGAGAGAGGGGGAGACAGAGAGAGAGGGGGAGACAATGAGAAATGGAGGCATAACAAGGGATGTAAAAGAGAGATTATGAGACATAGATAAAAGATACATATTGATAATTTATACATATATATATATAGACAGATATTATTTTTAAGATAATTATATGTAGCATAAAGATTTAGACCGAGATATATTTGTTATACATATATAGTATTAGACTACAGATATCATAACAGAGATATATTTTTAGACAAAGAGATGTATACCAGAGATATATTCTAGACAAATTATATATATCTTTATAAACAGATCATAAAAGGGGGAAATGATATTTATACAAGCGAGATGTGAACAGAGATATTGGGGACGAGAGAGGGAAAGACTTGAATGTTTTTAATTTCATAGGTCAAAGGAATAATGAGTTTCACTAAGGTGATGTTGTGTGTGTGTGATGTGTGTGTGTTTTTCCTCAGGCACGTTTGCTGTGATCAGCATCATGATAGGCAGTGTGACAGAGAAGCTGGCGCCAGACAGTGACTTCACGTTCCTGAATGGAACCAACGGGACAGCAGTTCTAGATGTGGCAGCCCGCGACGCCTACAGAGTACAGATAGCAGCCAGCACCACAGTACTAAGTGGGCTCTTTCAGGTCCTGCTGGGCATAGTGCGGTTTGGTTTCGTGGTGACGTACCTGTCGGAGCCCCTGGTACGTGGCTACACAACAGGAGCAGCTACACACGTCGTCGTCTCACAACTCAAATACATCTTTGGTATCCACCCTGCACGCTTCTCTGGACCACTGTCTCAGGTCTATGTGAGTACACACAACACATCCACATCCACACACTCATGCGCAAAGACACACAGACACATGCAGGCAGTAACAGTCTGACTGTCCATCTCTCTCTCTCTCTCTCTCTCTCTCTCTCTCTCTCTCTCTCTCTCTCTCTCTCTTTCTCTCATATCTCTCTTTCATATCTCTCTTTCATATCTCTCTCTCTCTCTCTCTCTCTCTCTCTCTCATATCTCTCTCTCTCATATCTCTCTTTCATATCTCTCTCTCATCTCTCTCTCTCATCTCTCTCTCTCATCTCTCTCTCTCATCTCTCTCTCTAGATCCTAATAGACATCTGTAGACATCTGCCAGAGACTAACATTGGGGCCCTGGTGGTTAGTCTCGTGGCCTTGGTGGTCCTCATAGTGGTCAAAGAACTCAACTCCTGTTATGAGAAGAAACTACCTCTGCCTATTCCCATAGAACTCATAGTGGTAAGTCCTTTATACCTAACCCCTCTCTGTATCTGTCTGTTCATTAGTCACACAATCATTGATTGATTGATTTAGTTTATTAGATCATTAAAAGTGGAGACAACATTACATATACATGTATTTTCCATCATCCTCTCAATTATCTCTCTCTGTTTTGGTCCCTTGAACATATGTGTGCTAATGAATGTCACTAGAGGGCAGGCTGTCACCATGGCTGATATCTATAAGGAGCGTAGTGTAACCCAGAGCTGCTGCTGTCTTCTGGACCTGTTAAACATTTTGAGAGGAAGTTAATTCTATTCTCAGTTTAACAATCCAGATGTTTTTGTTTGTGTTATTGTGTTTTTCATCAATTAGAATCAGTTGGAAGCTCTTTGTATATCTCAAAGGGTTAATATTCTGCCCAGTTAGTGTGTGTGTGTGTGCCCCCAGTTAATGGTAGTGCTTGGTTTCTCATTCATCCAATAAAATGTGCTCAAGTGATGAGCTCTGTTAAATGATTGGCCTGTCTTTCCGCTTGAATTCCAAACCCACACAGGGTCTGCGATAATGATTTACTCACAATTACACACATGCATACAAGTTCCTACACATGTGTACAACGGTGGATGCTTTGTTGTTGTGAGTATGGTAACCTATGTGTGTGTGTGTGTGTGTGTGTGTGTGTGTGTGTGTGCGTGTGTTACAGATCATAGCAGCGACACTCATCTCCTACTACTGCAACCTGAACAGCCAATACGACGTGGCCGTGGTTGGAGAGATCCCCAGAGGGTGAGTGTTTATGTGTGTGTGTGAGTCAGTAGCCATAGGTTGTTGACTGGGGCCTGGTCTGTTGAGGCAGAGTGCTCTCCTGGTCAAGGTTACACCCAGAACAAAGCAAGGGGGGCAAGGACCGAAAGTATCAGAGGGTGATAACATAATGTACAGTTTGTTTGTGTGTGTGTGTGTGTGTGTGTGTGTGTGTGTGTGTGTGTGTGTGTGTGTGTGTGTGTGTGTAGGGGGTTTCTAAGGTCAGTGAGATGCCGAGTTACAGTTTTGACTTAAATCTACTTGAAAATCTATGGCAAGACCTGAAAATGGTTGTCTAGCAATGATCAACAACCAATTTGACAGAGCATTGAATAATTCTTTAAGAATAATGGGCAAATGTTACTCACAGCTGTAATCAATGCCAAAGGTGCTTCTACAAAGTATTGACTCAGGCGTGTGAATACTTATGTACAGTTAACAAAAATATAAACGCAACATGTAAATTGTTGGTGCCATGTTTCATGAGGAGTATTTCTGTCTGTAATAAAGCCCTTTGGTGGGGAAAAACTCTAAATCTCTAAAAACATGTTTTCTCTTTGTCATTATGGGGTATTGTGTGTAGATGGGTGAGATAAAAAAAATCAATTTAATACATTTTGAATTCATGCTGTAGCACAACATAATGTGAAATAAGTCAAGGGGTATGAATACTTTCTGAAGGTCCTTTAGCTCCTTGAGAAGGAGTCATCCTAGAGCAGGGATGGGCAACTTTGATGGGGATGGGGGCTGAACTCATCATGAGGGGACGCAGTGGCTCATGGGTCTGTGTACCCACCCACATCCATACCCTAGCCTTTTGGGGACACTTAGGGACATTTTATTGGTTAGTCTTGGACATGTATTAGCTGATTTTGCATGGTTTTCAGACTGCTGGACTGCCAAAGACCAAAGCCAAGCAGCTGTTTCTTCTATTGCTCCAGGGCAGCTTTTGTAGGCAGGTCACCTTCATTCATAAGCTTGATCAAGTTGTCAAAGGTTTACTTTAAATTGATCATTTCATTCTTTCACATTTCAAAACATAAAGTAGCCTACAGGTACTTTATCACTTGGTTTACCATCTATCATTTAGGTTAATTTGAGTCATTATCACATTACCTGTGAATTGTTATGGAATTAAATACCCTCAAATAATTATCTATACATAATCTTTAGATGCTGACTTCAAAATCACCCGAATGAAGGCACCTTTTTACCATCCTGCCTCAAATGGCAGCACCCTTGTCAGTGTTTACACAGCACCCTTGTCAGTGTTTACACAGCCAGTGTTTGGAAGACCAGGCACCTGTACTGTATGACCTCTAATGTCAAATATTTGGTCCTTGGCATCTTAATGATTAACTCTAGAAAATTATTAAATGTATATGGGTCATTGAGGTTGTGTACATTTGTTCCGACACTTGTTACCACTGTTGAAGGACCTAGCGGACAAGCAGCGGCAGGAATCAAGTGGATCTGTTGGAGATGATGGAGGAAGGGGTCTGGACAGTGGCAGTAATGGAGGAGATACATTTTTACAGTGTTGACAACATCGCTGTCCTTGACCCACATCAATCCCCTATATACCTCCCTCCCCCTCTCCTCTCTCAACTCTCTCCTCTCTCCTCCCTCCCCCTCTCCTCTCTCCACCCTCTCCCCCCTCTCCCTCCCCTCCTCTCCCTCCCTCCTCCTGTCTCCACACTCTGTCCCCCCTTCCTTCCTCTCCTCCCTCTTCAACCCTCTCCTCGCCTCTACCCTCATCCTCCCTCTCCTCTCCTCTCGCTCTCTCCTCCTGCTTCTCTCCCTCTCCTCCTCCACTCCCTCTCTCCCCCTCCCCCCCTCTCCTCCCTCTCCTCTCTCTCCTACCCTCCCTCTCACCCTCTCCTCCCTCTACCTCCCTCTCCTCCCTCTCTCCTCTCTCCTCCCTCTCCTCTCTCTCCTCCCGCTCCCCCCCCCCCCCCCCTCTCCCGCTCCCCCCCCCTCTCCCCCTCTCTCTCTCCCCTCCTCTCCCCTCTCCTCTCTCCTGTCTCCTCCTCTCTCCTCTCTCTCCCGGTTCTCCTCCCTCTCCTTCTCCTCCTCTCCTCACCCCTCTCCCCTATCCTGCTCATCCGTCTCTCTCATCCTCTCTCCTGTTCTCCTCCTCTCCTCCTCCCTCTCTCTCTGGAACCCCTCCCCTCCGTGGACCCTCCCCCCCACCCTCTCCCGCCCTCCCCCCACCTCCTCCCCCCTCCTCCCACTCCTCCTACGCCTCCCAATACCCACGCCCCCACCAAACGCACCCCCCCACCTCCTCTTCCCACCCTCCTCCTCGCCCCTCCAACCCCCACTCACCCCCCCCCGCTCCTCACTCCCTACTGAGCTCCCAACCCTTCCTTATCTCCCTCCTCTCCTCTCTCCTCCTGCCTCCTCCTCTCCCTTTCCCCCACCCCTCGATGCCCCTCCCCTCCCTCCTCATGTCCTCCGCCTCCTCTCCCCACTCCCCAACTCTCCTCCGGGGACGTCATTTGGCAACGTTCCCCCCCGGGATCCTACTCATCCGCCTCGCCCTCCTCTCTGTCCCTCCGCCCCATCCTTCCTCCTCTCCTCCCACGTCCTCCCGACGTCCCTGCCATCTCGCGCCCCTCCGCAGTCATCCGGCGCGTCCACATCCCCCTTTCAGATGACCGTCTTCCACCTCCCGACCCCATCATTAGAACCCCCCCCGTTCTTGCGCGAGCTCCGCCCATGACGCCATCTCTCATCTCCTCACGCCTCCCGCCTCTACCTAGCGCTCAGCATCCCCTCCCCACGCACGCGCTCAGCCACGCAGTGTCCACCCTCCGTACCCTCCAGTACCCTCCCTCCCGTCACCGACAGCCAAACCCTCATCCTCTTATCTCGCAACATCCGCCGACTACTCCTACTGAGTCCTTCGCCCCAGCACCCATTTGATATCAGCTGCCGCCGCTCTCCTGCCCCCTCCCTCTCGACTCTAATCCTCCTCGTATCACCTCCGCCCCTCTCGATCGAACCTCCGGCATCTTCCTCCATCCCACCATCCGTCCCATCATCCTCCGGAATTCCAAGGGCAGTCCCAACCCTCCCCTTCACGAATCTCCTTCCCCCCCGTCCCCTCATGCCCGCCCTCCGTAACACGAGCCCCTGAACGGGCCCAAGCCTTCTGTCCTTCAGCCCAAGCGACTCCTCTCGGACATGAAACCTCTCCTGACTCCTCCCTCTCCTGTCTCCTCCCTCTGTACTCCCACTCCTCACTCCTTTACGTCCCCCTTCTCCCCCCCCTTCCTCTCCATCCCTAGGCTGAAGTCTCCCAGTCTACCTGACGTCAGTCTGTGGGGTACGGTGGTTGGTGATGCGTTTGCTGTGGCCATAGTGGGTTATGCCATCAACATCTCCCTGGGCAAAACCTTTGGCCTCAAACACGGCTACAAGGTGGACAGCAACCAGGTGGGACACGCAGGCGCACGCACACATACACACACACACACACACATGCAGACACACACAGTTATGCAGGTAGGCAGGTGCATGCTTGAGGTTGTTCTGCTCTGAAGGAGAGAGACAGCTCTCTGGTCCTGAATGTTTAATGGCCGACACGCTCTGCTCAGTCAAGTACAGATGTAGGATCTTAGTTTAAGCCAGTTTGCTACAGCAGGAAAATAATCCTGCAGCAACAGGAAATTTAAATTATTATGCAGAGTATAATTCATGGATATTTTTTGTAGGAGTTAATACATTTTACATTAGGGCAAATCAAGTCTGAAATTTTAAATAGGAAATTACAAACTTTAGAAGCTTTTTAAACCTTTAATACACTACAAGTTTGCATTTCCTGTTGTGCACGAAAATTCTCATCAACAAAAGAGTGATCAAATTAAGATCCTACATCTGTTGGATGAGAACTACACCAGTAGCAGTTAACAATACAACAGTGGGCTGTGGAGCAGTTGTGACTCAGTATAGTCTGAATATGCACTAGGACTTATTTACTTGTGGTGGTCAAAGGATGGTCATTAGTGCATTCTCTGGCTTCTGCATACCTCTCATCTCCCCCCTCTCACGCTCTCTCGCTCTAGGAGCTGGTGGCTCTGGGTCTCAGTAACACAGTGGGAGGATTCTTCCAATGCTACTCTGTCACCTCTTCTATGTCCCGTAGCCTCATTCAGGAGAGCACTGGGGGCAAAACACAGGTAACACACACACACAGTATGTCCACCTGCTAATATTTCTGCAGGCATACATTTACATTTTTGTCATTTAGCAAGACGCTCTTATCCAGAGTGCATACATTTTTCTTTTTTCATACTGGTCCCCCGTGGGAATCGAACCCACAACCCTGCCGTTGCAAGCGCCATGCTCTACCAACTGAGCTACACGGGACTAAATACACACTCACTGATGTGTGTTTGTGTATTGTGTCAGGTTGCCGGGGTGGTTTCTTCAGTGATTGTGCTGATCACCGTTCTGCAACTGGGGACACTGTTTGAGGAGCTACCCAAGGTATCTATCTCTCTATCCCCCCCCCCCCCCCCCCCCCCACCACCCCCACCACCACCAAACACACACACACAACACCACGCCACTGATCTGATCTGATGAGTGTGTGTGTGTGTGTGTCCCATAGGCTGTCCTGTCCTGCATAGTGTTTGTAAACCTGAAAGGCATATTTAAGCAGTACCTAGACATTCCTGCACTCTGGAAGAGCAACAAAGTCGACCTGGTGAGAGCAACACATAACATCTATACACTTCATATCTATAACCTAAGACCTGCATCCTAACATGAGACCCCTGGGGCCTCATTTATAACCTTTTTGCGTAAATGTAACACTAAATATCTGCGTGGGGGGTGCAACTCAATATTATATTGTTCCTAATGTTTTGTACACTCAGTGTATATTCCCCACTTTCACAAGGCTACTAGGCTACTTTTGCCTTCTTGTAATACTTCAACCACTAGAAACTGTGCTTACGCATGGTCTGAAGTTTGCGGGATGATAAGCACATTCTCATGTCAATTCAGTTTTTATAAATGTAAACTTTTGCGTGAAAAATGGCTCATGCATGTGTTGGGGCATATTTTGTGCAAAAGCACCGTTTATAAATGAGGCCCCTGGTTCCTGGGTATTCACCCCTATTGATCACATGTGTCTCTGTTGCCCCCTAGCTGGTGTGGTTGGTAACGCTGGCATGTACCATCCTGCTGAACCTGGACCTGGGCCTGGCTGCATCCATCGCCTTCTCTCTGCTCACTGTCATCTTCAGAACACAGCTGTGAGTCTGTGTGTGTGTGTGTGTGTGTGTGTGTTTGTTGTAGAAGGGAGAGAGATTTACCTTCTAAAGTTACTGTACTGTGTCCCTCTTTCTTCTCAAAGTGCATAACATCCCTTTATCTTTCTCTCCCAGGCCACGGTACTCTATCCTGGGGCAGGTTCCTGGGACTGAGCTCTACCTGGACACAGACACATATGAAGAGGTGAGATGGAGGAGCTCAATATGTACTAAGGGGGGAGTGGGTTAGTGAACAATGGGGTTTAAAGCAGCTTTTAGATGACTGTCTATTGAACCCCCCCCCCCCCCCCCCCCCCCCCCTCCCTCGTTTGTGTGTTGGTTTGTCCCGCAGGCAAAAGAGATCCCAGGTATCACTATCTTCCGTTCTTCCACCACGGTGTACTATACCAACGCTGAGTTATACCTGGACGCACTGCAGGAGAAGGTAGTGTGTGTGTGTGTGTGTGTGTGTGTGTCTTTCTCTCAATCTGCCCTTTTTCTCTGAAATGTTCACTCTCTCTTATTCACTCTCTCAATCGCTCTCTTTCATTTCCCCACACAGACAGGAATTGACATTGGGAAGCTGCTGACACAAAATAAGAAAAGAGATGCTAAACAAAAGAGGAAAGAAAAGAAAGAAGAAAAGAAAGCTGAAAAGGAGGCAAAGAAACAGGTATGACACACGACACATACAGTACATCACACACGTCACATACAGTACATCATACACGTTACATACAGTACATCACACACGACACATACAGTACATCATACACGTTACATACAGTACATCATACACGTTACATACAGTACATCATACACGTTACATACAGTACATCATACACGTTACATACAGTACATCATACACGTTACATACAGTACATCATACACGTTACATACAGTACATCATACACGTTACATACAGTACATCATACACGTTACATACAGTACATCACACACGTCACATACAGTACATAATACACGTCACATACAGTACATCATACACGTTACATACAGTACATCACACACGTTACATACAGTACATCATACACGTTACATACAGTAAGTACATCATACACGTTACATACAGTACATCACACACGTCACATACAGTACATCATACACGTTACATACAGTACATCATACACGTTACATACAGTACATCACACACGTTACATACAGTACATCATACACGTTACATACAGTACATCATACACGTTACATACAGTACATCATACACGTTACATACAGTACATCATACACGTTACATACAGTACATCATACACGTTACATACAGTACATCATACACGTTACATACAGTACATCACACACGTTACATACAGTACATCATACACGTCACATACAGTACATCATACACGTTACATACAGTACATCACACACGTTACATACAGTACATCATACACGTTACATACAGTACATCATACACGTTACATACAGTACATCATACACGTTACATACAGTACATCATACACGTTACATACAGTACATCACACACGTTACATACAGTACATCATACACGTCACATACAGTACATCATACACGTTACATACAGTACATCACACACGTTACATACAGTACATCATACACGTTACATACAGTACATCATACACGTTACATACAGTACATCACACACGTTACATACAGTACATCATACACGTTACATACAGTACATCATACACGTTACATACAGTACATCATACACGTTACATACAGTACATCATACACGTTACATACAGTACATCATACACGTTACATACAGTACATCATACACGTTACATACAGTACATCATACACGTTACATACAGTACATCATACACGTCACATACAGTACATCATACACGTCACATACAGTACATCATACACGTCACATACAGTACATCATACACGTTACATACAGTACATCATACACGTTACATACAGTACATCATACACGTTACATACAGTACATCATACACGTTACATACAGTACATCATACACGTTACATACAGTACATCATACACGTTACATACAGTACATCATACACGTTACATACAGTACATCACAAACGTTACATACAGTACATCATACACGTTACATACAGTACATCACACACGTTACATACAGTACATCATACACGTTACATACAGTACATCACACACGTTACATACAGTACATCATACACGTCACATATTTTTCAAGACCTCTGCAATCCGCCCCTGACATGCTGTCAATTAACTTCTGGTCCATATCCTGACTGATGGCAGCCCATTCTTGCATAATCAATGCTTGGTGTTTGTGGGTTTTTGTTCTCAATGGGATTAAGGTCTGGGGAGTTTCCTGGCCATGGACCCAAAATGTCGATGTTTTGTTCCCCGAGCCACTTAGTTATCACTTTTGCCTTATGGCAAGGTGCTCCATCATGCTGGAAAAGGCATTGGTCGTCACCAAACCGTTCTTGGATGGTTGGGAGAAGTTGCTCTCGGAGGATGTGTTGGTACCATTCTTTATTCATGGCTGTGTTCTTAGGAAAAATTGTGAGTGAGCCCACTCCCTTGGCTGAGAAGCAACCCCACACATGAATGGTCTCAGGATGCTTTACTGTCTTCTCCGGACAAGGTGTTTTCCAGATGCCCCACACAATCGGAAAGGGGATTAATCAGATAAAATGACTTTACCCCAGTCCTCAGCAGTCCAATCCCTTTACCTTTTGCAGAATATCAGTCTGTCCCTGATGTTTTTCCTGGAGAGAAGTGGCTTCTTTGCTGCCCTTCTTGACACCAGGCCATCCTCCAAAAGTCTTCGCCTCACTGTGCGTGCAGATGCACTCACACCTGCCTGCTGCCATTCCTGAGCAAGCTCTGCACTGGTGGTGCTCCGATCCCGCAGCTGAATCAACTTTAGGAGACGGTCCTGGCGCTTGCTGGACTTTCTTGGGCGCCCTGACGCCTTCTTCACAACAATAGGCCCTTTTCACGATGACGTCATCTAACTTCCGCCTTTCCGCGTAGCAGGTTAACTTCACTTCCGTTCGCCCGTAACCTGAGACTTCTCAACGAAAATACAACTGTTGACCACTAACTAGCAAGCTAGCTACTTGAAGAAATTCCAAAAGGTACGTTTAAGTTAAATTAGTAAAGTTAAGAGTAATAATGTTTACGTATATGCAATGGTTTGTAACTTGCTAACGTTATTGTTAATTCATAATTGTTCACTGCCTTAGTTACTTAAAAGTGGGCTAACGTTAGCTAACAACAACTTAGTACCAGATACCGATAACGTTAAAAGGTAGCGTTACATTGCTGCCTGGCTGTAATGTAACAAGTTTACTTAGCTAGCTATCTAACCCTTTGTTAGGCAGTTAGTTTATTAATATCTGACCTGTGTCCTAGGCCGGTGCCAGGTCTGCAGTGCGCTGGTGCATGACAGAGGCAATGGCACTGTCTTAAAGCCCATGGTAACATAGTGAGCACTTTGAAAAAGAAGTGCTACTATGTGATTACATAGTGCTTTCCCAGCAGAGCAGGAACATGACATGTGATTGAGTACCACAGGAACCTCTGCAGAGTCTAGTGTAACCTGTTCATAGAGACATAACAATTAGTGCTGTACTTACAAAACATTTTTTCTGCGTTTCATTATAAACTACTGTACACAATTTTCAAAACCCAATTTCTTTTTTTAATTAAGAAAAATTGGCTGTTCTGAAACCTTTGACAAGTAGTGCCAACACTTATCGAAAATTTGAACATTTTGAGTTATCACAGAATCTTTCCCAGTCTTTATTGCCGTCAACAATCCACATCGGTTTGTAAGAATTTCGTTGTGTATTAAGTTTAATGATACAAAATCAGAGCTCAGACTGAGAAACAAACTGATCCACAGTGGAACTTTGTGGAATCATTCTTATTAAATCTGCAACCGCAGCAAAACACAACAAAAAGAAAACTTATCTATCTTTACCTATCTTATCATAATGTTAGAGAACTGTTTATCTGAGAAACCTGAAGCCGATGAGCCTCCTCATTTTTCTTCATGGACCTGTAACATCGCCCTCTCACTGTCACCTCACCGTTAACTACACTTGAGACTGTTTCAATACAGTGATTGGGAGAAAGGGCGCAGCATTAGCCATTAATACATTACTGACTCTTATCTTACGGTCGATACAAACAGCAGTAATATTAAAAAGAGGCTGCAAAACAGAAACTCGTCAGCTCATAACCTTCGCTAGCATAGGGCTAATTTAAGCTAAATAAAGATAAACACGTACCTTCATAATCAAACAGGTAACCTTCAACGAAGAACTTGTAGCCTTTATCAAGCTTCGATCTTGAAGTAAGGGACCACTTGTCAGCAAGTCGTTCTACGTCGTTAAGTCGTATTGGTGGCAGATGTGAAAGGGACTGGGTGAACTCCATAATGATGTGCTACTAGCTAAGCGTTCCTAAGCGACACCGGATGTAAACATAACCTGCATCGCGGCAGAACGGAAGTTGTCTGACGTCACGTGAAAAGGGCCTATTGAACCTCTCTCCTTGAAGTTCTTGATGATCCGATAAATGGTTGATTTAGGTGCAATCTTACTAGCAGCAATATCCTTGCCTGTGAAGCCCTTTTTGTGCAAAGCAATGATGACGGCACGTGTTTCCTTGCAGGTAACCATGGTTAACAGAGGAAGAACAATGAATTCAAGCACCACCCTCCTTTTAAAGCTTCCAGTCTGTTATTCTAACTCAATCAGCATGACAGAGTTATCTCCAGCCTTGTCCTCGTCAACACTCTCACCTGTGTTAATGAGAGAATCACTGACATGATTGCAGCTGGTCCTTTTGTGGCAGGGCTGAAATGCAGTGGAAATGTTTTTTTGGGATTAAGTTCATTTTCATGGCAAAGAGGGACTTTGCAATTAATTGCAATTCATCTGATCACTCTTCATGACATTCTGGAGTATATGCAAATTGCCATCATCAAAACTGAGGCAGCAGACTTTGTGAAAATTTGGATTTGTGTCATTCTCAAAATGTTTGACCACGACTGTACTGTACATCACACACACCCACGTCACATACAGCACGTCACACACACCCACGTCACATACAGTACGTCACACACACCCACGTCACATACAGTACGTCACACACACCCACGTCACATACAGCACGTCACACACACCCACGTCACATACAGTACGTCACACACACACCCACGTCACATACAGTACGTCACACACACCCACGTCACATACAGCACGTCACACACACCCACGTCACATACAGTACGTCACACACACCCACGTCACATACAGCACGTCACATACAGTACGTCACACACACACACACGTCACATACAGTACGTCACACACACCCACGTCACATACAGTACGTCACACACACACCCACGTCACATACAGCACGTCACACACACCCACGTCACATACAGCACGTCACACACACCCACGTCACATACAGTACGTCACACACACCCACGTCACATACAGCACGTCACACACACCCACGTCACATACAGCACGTCACACACACCCACGTCACATACAGTACGTCACACACACACACACGTCACATACAGTACGTCACACACACACACACGTCACATACAGTACGTCACACACACACACACGTCACATACAGTACGTCACACACACCCACGTCACATACAGTACGTCACACACACACCCTCGTCACATACAGTACGTCACACACACACCCACGTCACATACAGTACGTCACACACACACACGTCACATACAGTACGTCACACACACCCACGTCACATACAGTACGTCACACACACACCCACGTCACATACAGTACGTCACACACACCCACGTCACATACAGTACGTCACACACACACACGTCACATACAGTATGTCACACACACACACGTCACATACAGTATGTCACACACACACACGTCACATACAGTACGTCACACACACACACGTCACATACAGTACGTCACACACACACACACGTCACATACAGTACGTCACACACACACACACGTCACATACAGTACGTCACACACACACACACGTCACATACAGTACGTCACACACACACACGTCACATACAGTACGTCACACACACACACACGTCACATACAGTACGTCACACACACACACACACTTCACATACAGTACGTCACACACACACATACTGTACACAAAAATGGTTTTACACTAAGATGTTATCAAGTGACCTTATTTCAATGGATGTCTCTCCCCTTCCCTTCCAAGAAAGGCGTGAATGGACACCTACACAATGGTACAGTCCACCCAGAGGACAAGGTGGATGTAGAGAAGGGAAACAGGACAGACGTCGCCTTGACTGACAGACCCACCAATGGACAGGTCTGTAGCGTGATGTACTACAATACTACACGAAACACTCTGGACTCAAGTAAAGCATACAGTCAGCAAAACCTCCATTCACACCAGAGCAGAGTAACATACTGTCTCTCTGTCAATCTAAGGTGAACTGGGCCTACGAGCAGCAAGGGACCGGGTTGGACCCGGGCTATGAGACTGGTAGTCGTGGCGATGATGCCATAACCCAGATGTCCAATACCGGAGGAGAAGGGGAGAGGGGGAGGAGCTCCGACAACGACACACATACCATCATCCTGGATCTCTCCACAGCCAGCTTTGTAGACACCGTCACTGTGATGACGCTGAATAACGTATGTTTGTGTGTGTGTGTATTTGTGTGTGTGGGAAGAGTGTATGTGTGTATTTGTGTGTGTGGGAGGAGTGTATGTGTGTATTTGTGTGTGTGGGAGGAGTGTATGTGTGTATTTGTGTGTGTGGGAGGAGTGTATGTGTGTATTTGTGTGTGTGGGAGGAGTGTATGTGTGTATTTGTGTGTGTGGGAGGAGTGTATGTGTGTATTTGTGTGTGTGGGTGGAGTGTATGTGTGTATTTGTGTGTGTGGGAGGAGTGTATGTGTGTTTTTGAAGGATGGGGATGGAAGGAGGAACGACAGAGAGGGAGGGTTGATCACAGAGGGGATGGAGAGAAGACAGTGAGAGAGAAAGGGAGATCGAGAAGGAGAAAAAAGGAGGGAGAGGGTAATGATGTTTTCAGAAATGTGTTATTTGTAGATTCTTTGTATCCAGTCTCCTTATGTCACATTGTTCGCTGTCGTACTCCTGAGTGGCCTTGTGCTTGAAACAAACAAAGGTCTTGTGTTCTGTGAGTAGGCAGGCCTAAATTAGATTGTTTTGTATGTTGGGGAAGAGGCACTTATAGAGATGTGGAGAGAGAGAGAGAAAGAGAGAGAGAGAGAGAGAGAGAGTGAGAGTGAGAGTGAGAGTGAGAGTGAGAGTGAGAGTGAGAGTGAGAGAGAGAGAGAGAGAGAGAGAGAGTGGTGGAGAGAAAGAGAACAGAAAAACAAGATAAATCCAAACTGGTGCAGCACAAACAGTCCCGTAGAAAAACAGCCTTCTTATTTGACCTTTCACCTTTCTCTCTCTCTCTCTTTCCTTCTCTCTCACTCAATATCTCTCTTTATTGCAGATATTCCGAGACTATAGAGAGATTGACATTGACATCTATTTAGCTGGATGCCAAGGTGAGTGTCTGTGCTAATTCATGCTGGTCTCTCTGGCCTTAGCTTGTGTCGTCTTTGTGTGTGTGTGTGTGTGTGTGGTTTACGTGTGTATTGTGTAACCTGGTTTGTCTTTCCTCCAGTATGTGTGGTGGAGCAGTTATCCAGAGCAGGCTTTTTCTCTGAGTCCATCCCTAAGAGCCGTCTGTTCACTACGGTCCACGACGCTGTGCTACACAGCCTGCGGCTGCAAGGGACCATCTACGAGTGTGCTCTGGTGAGTAGACCAGACCCTCAAGGCCATTTGGATGGTGTTGGAACTGTCCTCCAAAATGAGCTGCTTTCTTATGATTGTTTCTAGGTATACCTGGCAATTAATTCATTCTTATCTTATGTTCTGACACTTTCTCCTTCTCTACTAGGACATGGCCTGCACTACCAAGATGTAACCAACAGGGGTCCCTTTGGTCACAATCCTTTATGTAAAATAAGAAATAATGGTTACTAATTTTGAATTGTTAATGATAACATTAAGGGTTGGAAATGAATGGGTTAGAAACAAAAGTATCAACGTACCCTGATGATTGAAGTTCTCTTGAGTCCACAATCTTCAACCCTGCACAAATATCATGAAGCTGGTTGAGAGAATGCCAAGAGTGTGCAAAGCTGTCATCAAGGCAAAGGGTGGCTACTTTGAAGAATCTCAAATATATTTTGATCTTTTTAACACTTTTTTGGTTACTAGATGATTCCATATGTGTTATTTCATAGTTTTGATGTCTTCACTATTATTCTACAATGTAGAAAATAGCAAAAAATAATGAAAAACCCTTGAATGAGTAGGTGTGTCCAAACTTTTGACTGGTACTAACGTAGGTGCACAGGTTGAGAGACAAATTGGAGTAATCAAGATGACACATTCAATACCGTCTTGGACACTCTTGCCTGCATCTAGCTGATCTAGGGTGTAATAATTTGTATTTGTATTTATTAGCGATCGCCATTACTCTTCCTGGGGTCCAAACACATTAAGGCACTTACATCAGTTCCATGTAGTCATGGCTCTATGTAGTACTGTGCACCTCCCATAGTCTGTTCTGGACTTGTGGATTGTGAAGAGACCTCTGGTGGCATGTCTTGTAGTAGTTTAGTAGTTTAAACAGACAGCTCGGTGCATTCAGTTTGTCAACACGTCTTACAAAAACAAGTAGTGATGAAGTCAATCTCTCCTCCACTTTGAGCCATGAGAGATTGATATGCATACTATTAATGTTAGCTCTCCGTGTACGTTTAAGGGCCAGCAGTGCTGCCCTGTTCTGAGCCAATTGTCATTTTCCTAAGTCCCTCTTTGTGGCACCTGACCATACGACTGAACAGTAGACCAGGTGCGACAAAACTAGGGCCTGTAGGACCAGCCTTGTTGATAGTGCTGTTAAGTCCAAACTGTTTTGCAACCAAAACGAGAGTTTCTATTGTACAAATTCAAGTAGGTCTATCCCCGTTTCGTTCCGTATAAGAAACAGAAGCAACAGAATCGGCAGAATGAATACACCCCTGATCACACGCAAACACAGTTCACTTTCATAGAAGCCATATACAAACAGCATGATAATTTTGCTCGTTGTATAATTCCTTCTCGCATCTACGGGCACTCCTCCTCTCACCTTTTCCCTTTGCTTGGGGACTTCAGTGCACAACACAACAGCTGTCTGTAACCAGTATGAAAAATGTATGCACTCACTAACTGTAAGTCGCTCTGGATAAGAGCGTCTGCTAAATGACTAAAATGTAAATGTAACCAGGCGAAAAAACCTCTCCAAGCCAAACCTTTATACCATAACCGCTAACCGCTACACACAGCCTACATCGTTGTCACCATATTAGCTAACATCATAGTCAACGTAGCTACTAGAACTAACGTGTTAGTAAACCTGCTACAATCACGCAGTACAGTGTACAGCAAGCAGTTTAGCAGTTACACCGGCGGGCCCAAGTAAACCGAAAGCTTACCTTGACTTGGAAGAGTTCCAGTGTTGGATATTCTTAGCCAGTTAGCTAACATAAATAGCATTAATCTCTGTTTGAGCCGGGTGTTTGAGTAGGCTAAATTAGCTAGCTGCATTAGCTAGCTAAGTATGAGAAAGTTTAAAACATTTAACGAAATAAGCCTATAGCTAGCTCTCTCTCTCTGCTGCTTCTCCTTAATTTTTTAAGAAATGAATTTGTTCAAAACTGTTCATCTATTGTCTTTCTCTCTCTTTGAGTCAACTACTCACCACATTTTATGCACTGCAGTGCTAGCTAGCTGCAGATTATGCTTTCAGTACTAGATTCATTCTCTGATCCTTTGATTGGGTGGACAACATGTCAGTTCATGCTGCAAGAGCTCTGATAGGTTGGAGGATGTCCTCCGGAAATCGTCATAATTACTGTGTAAGTCTATGGAAGGGGGTGAGAACCATGAGCCTACATTTTGTATTGAAGTCAATGTACCCAGAGGACAGAAACTAGCTGTCCTCCGGCTACACCATGGTGCTACCCTAGAGGGTGCTGTTGAGGCTACTGTAGACCTTCATTCCAAAACAGTGTGTTGTTTGGTAATGTTAATATATTTATGATAGTTTTATCTAAAAAGGATAACTGTTTCACCATTTTTATTTTTATGAAATTCACGGAGTAGGATTGTCCTCCACCTCCTCCTCTGAGGAGCCTCCACTGATTTCCATATCATAAAACTCATGTCATATAGTGTCATCATTTATAATCACTATGTTTGATTTACAGTTACAAGATAACATGGCGTCATACCCTGGGTTGTTCTGAACTGAATGCCTATTGTGAAGTAAATTTGCCGTGGCACACGCACCTGAATGCACTCATGACTCCTTTCAACGCGCACCAAAATTATTGAAATTACTTAGGAACTGTGCACATTTTGGAGAGGTGTGTTGCCACTTGGAGACACCAGTTAGTCCTCTCAATCAAACTCTTGTAAAAAAAAATACATCTTATGTTGCACCTACCCCACATTTTCCAGGAATATTCTGATCATGTTACTGAATGTATCAAGAGTATTTTCTGTTTTGTTATCAACAAATGTGTCGAAAAGTACAGTAAATGTAAAATGCACATAATATCAACAGTGTAATGTTTGGATTCAGTCTTGTGTCAGGTGAACTGTTGTGTCCTCACATTTGGTTTAATATTTTCCCCAAACTGTTTCCTTTCAAATGTTACCATGGTTATGCATAGCCTATGCTTGTCATATTTATTCTGTAAGAAACATTTCAATCTATATAGGCCAATTTTGATGTCCCAATAACATGACATCGGGTCTATGAACTGATATACAAAACAACAATAGACATATCACAATCCATTTTTTTCAATTTAAACTATTATAGAAAATTATCGCTACAAACAGAATGCTCAATAAATGGAGCATTTAACAGTCAGCCCTGTGCATCTCTGCCACAAATAAACAGAATCAATAGATCATCTCTTTTGGTACTGTTCATCAGTGTCTCGCTTTTGGAGTCAAGTCCAGGAATGGTTGTTATGTCATAATATCTGCAGATGGACCTGCAAACTGTATTGTTTGGGAATCGGAAAAACCACAATCAATCAATGGGAAATAGGATAACTAGCTAACGTCGCTAATAATAAAGTTAGCTATTTTGCTTAAAATTGACAATGGTCAAACTAGCTACATATTATCAATATTGATAAAGTTGTAAAAAACTGATTTGTTGTCTTCTTTTCGGCAACAAAGTTTCCAAATGGTGTTTCTGACTTGGAGGGTCCTTCAAGTGAAACTTCCCAGTGGGAACTAGGAATTTCCGATAACTCCGATACCACATGAACGCAGCATATCCTCCCCCCTTTAAGCTTTTTCGTCTTAATTTAAGGTTAGGGTTAGGCATAAGATAAACAGTGTGGTTAAAGTTATGTTTAAAATCAGATTAAGATTAATTGTAGAAATAAGTGGGGTTTAGCCATAATAATGACTTTGTGGCTGTGTGACCCTCCGTCATCCGCTCCCTGGCTTCCCATTGGTTCGCCTTGCCTCTTCCCTCTCTCGGTGAAAGAGAATGCACCACCACGACATGACGGTCGGTTTCCATGGTGATAAATGGTGCCGTTGCTGTGGCAACATGATTTTTATGACATCTTGTAATGAGTTAGCCTGCAAGACGTCACTTCAGCCCTCTCTCTCTCTCTCTCTGAAGGTGTGAGAGACCGATAGATAGATAGATAGATAGATAGATAGATAGATAGATAGATAGATAGATAGATAGATAGATAGATAGATAGATAGATAGATAGATAGATAGATAGATAGATAGATAGATAGATAGATAGATAGATACAGTGGGGAGAACAAGTATTAGATACACTGCTGATTTTGCAGGTTTTCCTACTTACAAAGCATGTAGAGGTCTGTAATTTTTATCATAGGTACACTTCAACTGTGAGAGACGGAATCTAAAACAAAAATCCAGAAAATCACATTGTATGATTTTTAAGTAATTAATTTGCATTTTATTGCATGACATAAGTATTTGATACATCAGAAAAGCAGAACTTAATATTTGGTACAGATACCTTTGTTTGCAATTACAGAGATCATACGTTTCCTGTAGGTCTTGACCAGGTTTGCACACACTGCAGCAGGGATTTTGGCCCACTCCTCCATACAGACCTTCTCCAGATCCTTCAGGTTTCGGGGCTGTCGCTGGGCAATACGGACTTTCAGCTCCCTCCAAAGATTTTCTATTGGGTTCAGGTCTGGAGACTGGCTAGGCCACTCCAGGACCTTGAGATGCTTCTTACGGAGCCACTCCTTAGTTGCCCTGGCTGTGTGTTTCGGGTCGTTGTCATGCTGGAAGACCCAGCCACGACCCATCTTCAATACTCTTACTGAGGAAAGGAGGTTGTTGGCCAAGATCTCGCGATACATGGCCCCATCCATCCTCCCCTCAATACGGTGCAGTCATCCTGTCCCCTTTGCAGAAAAGCATCCCCAAAGAATGATGTTTACACCTCCATGCTTCACGATTGGGATGGTGTTATTGGGGTTGTACTCATCCTTCTTCTTCCTCCAAACTCGGCGAGTGGAGTTTAGACCAAAAAGCTCTATTTTTGTCTCATCAGACCACATGACCTTCTCCCATTCCTCCTCTGGATCATCCAGATGGTCATTGGCAAACTTCAGACGGGCCTGGACATGCGCTGGCTTGAGCAGGGGGACCTTGCGTGCGCTGCAGGATTTTAATCCATGACGGCGTAGTGTGTTACTAATGGTTTTCTTTGAGACTGTGGTCCCAGCTCTCTTCAGGTCATTGACCAGGTCCTGCCGTGCAGTTCTGGGCTGATCCCTCACCTTCCTCATGATCATTGATGCCCCACGAGGTGAGATCTTGCATGGAGCCCCAGACCGAGGGTG